TGAGGTGGGCGGATCACGAGGTCAGGAGTTCGAGACCAGCCTGGCCAATGTGGTGAAACCCTGTGTCTACTAAAATACAAAAATTAATTGAGCGTGGTGGTGCGCATCTGTAATCTCAGCTGCTCAGGAGGCTGAGGCAGGAGAATTGCTCGAACCCAGTAGGCAGAGGTTGCAGTGAGCCGAGATCGCACCATTGCACTCCAGCCTGGGCAATAGAGTGAGACTCCATCTTAAAAAAAAAAGAAAGAGATTATGACACTTCTTGCTCAGAGTCTTTTAATGGCTCTTCATCTCACTTATAGTAGAAACCAAAGGCTTTATAATGGCCTTCAGGGTCCTACAAGATCCAGCTCAGTAATATCCAGTAAGCTAAGTTACTTCTATGACCTTATCTGCTCTCTCCGCTTTCTTTACTTTGCTCTACCTTGAATGTATTAAGCATACTTCTACCTTAATGTTCTTTGCATTGGCTGCTTTCTCTGCCTAGAATACTCTTTTTTCCAGATATTCCCCCACTACCAACTCCCTGTTGACTTCCTGCGGCCCAGCTGTGTGAGAAGAGTGCTTATGAGGGGATTAGTTGTGCTGTAAGGAGTGAAGGATAGAGGGGCAGGAGTATGGCAAATGTTGAAGTTCTCTAAAGAGCCAGTGAATGAGAGAATTCTAGACGTACTAGCAACTGTTGAGTCCAGCCTATTTGCTATTCTGAATAATAATGAAGGAATTCAAGAAACTTTGTAGCAAGTTAATAGAGATGAGGCAGCCTTCAGTCAGTCAGTGAAAATATATATAAATCAAGGTTCATAGTCTGAAGATTCCTACTAATAAGGCATTCTCTTTTGTAGATATTGGATTTGGTGTCCCGCCGCTTAGTTATGATTTAATGATATGCTCTTCAGATTAATAGAGAATAGGTCAAAGAACTACTTGAGCATCACTTTTGGAATCTATTATAAAAGTTTAATAGAAAACATTTAATTATTAAATTCCTTTTAAAATTGAGTATTAGAGGAAAGAGTTTATTATGTGTTCCATCAAAAGGGAGAGCAAAAATATGTTCCCTGGTACTTAGCAATGTCTATTAGGCGATTTCAGAGCCTAACCAGTGTTTAATTTATCTCTAGTATCTCTCTACTGTGGTCTTCTGCACCTTTTTTTATTTTTAATTGCAGGACTTACACTATGTTTAATTTTATAATTAAAATTACCAAAAGTGCTTGTAGAAGTAGACTTAGTTGAAATTAGAAAGCATCCTCTTATGAAGAGAGTATTCTGTTTCTCCATGTCAGTCAAGAAAAGTGAGTTCTTTCCATGGTTCTTTCATGTTTGTTTATTTGCACACCTTTTCCTCGTAGGGAAGAATAAAAGAAGAAATGAGGGTTACAGGAAAATAATAAAAAGTAAACAAAGTAATGTGAGGCCAGGCATAGAGTTAGTATACAAAGTACATGCCACAGGATCGTAATACTGACTCTGAATTTCTCAGTAGCCAACACTAAGAGGAGAGTGAAGTTACTTACATGATTCATTTAAGTCCATAAGGTAAAAAGAAACTAGTTGTTCAGGAAAGAAGCATAGCTAATACCAGTACTAAGTTTTTAGTGGATATCTCCCATGGGTCCTTATAATAAGAATACAGTGTCTGGGCGCGGTGGCTCACACCTGTAATCCTAGCACTCTGGGAAGCCGACGTGGGTGGATCACCTGAGGTTGGGAGTTTGAGACCAGCCTGATCAACATGGAGAAACCCTGTCTCTACTAAAAATACAAAATTAGCCAGGTGTGGTGGTGCATGCCTGTAAAGTTACTTGGGAGGCTGAGGAGGAGAATCGCTTGAACCCGGGAAGCGGAGGTTGCAGTGGGTTTAGATCACGCCACTGCGCTCCAGCCTGGGCAACAAGAGCGAAACTCTGTCTCAAAAAAACAAAAGAATACAGTGTGATGGAAGCAGGCGCCTGGAACAAGACAGTGTATTAACTTTCAGGATGAACTATGTTTGCGAATATAAGCAGCATTCGTAAGAGTATGATGTAAATGTGTGGTTCTTAACCTAATTTGGGTCATAGTCCATCTAACGTTTTTATCATGAATTTGATAAACATGCAGATTGTGGACCAACTTCAAGAGATTCTGATCCATTAGGCCTGAGGTAGGTTTTAGGAATCTATATGTGTAATCACCACCTCAGATGATTTTCATGTAGGTTGTTGTCAGATCATATGTTGAGAAACTGTTTCAGTGTTATAATTTCAGGGAGTTTGCATATTCCACACAATCACTATATGCATCTCAGGTTCTTAACCTGAGCAATATCCTCAACAGATTTGTGTAATTGAAAAATAATCATGAGTCCAGGCCTAGTGGCTCATGCCTGTAATTCTAGCGCTTTGGAAAGCTGAGGAGGGTGGATCCCATGAATCCAGGAGTTCGAGACCAGCCTGGCCAACATGGCGAAACCTCATCTCTACTAAAAATACAAAAATTAGCCAGGTGTGGTGGTGCATGTCTAACCCCAGCTGCTCGGAGGCTGAGGCATCAAAATCACCTGACCCTGGGAGGCAGAGGCTATGGTGAGCCAAGATTATGCCACTACACTCCAGCCTGGGCAACAGAACGAGACTCTGTCTCAAAAAAAAAAAAAAAAAAAGGACAGTCATGAGTTTCATAGGGTGTTTGGTGCTGGTGTACTAGAAAATTAGGTTTTACATTTAAGTCTTTAATCCATCTTGAGTTAATTTTTGCATATGGTGTAAGAAAGGTGTCTGGTTTTACTTTTCTGCATATGGCTAGCTAGTTATCCCAGCACCATTTATTGAATAGGGAGTCCTTTCTCTGTTGCTTTTGTCAGGTTTGTTGAAGATCAGTTAGTTGTAGGTGTGTGGTCTTATTTCTGGGCTCTATTCTGTTCCATTGGTCTATGTATATGTTCTTGTATCAGTACCATGCTGTTTTTTGGTTACTGCAGTGCTGTAGTATAAAGACACACGTACACACATGTTCATCACAGTACTATTCATTCTAACAAAGACGTGAAATCACCCCCAATGCCCATCAGTGATAGACTGGATAAAGAAAATGTGGTGCATACACACCATGGAATAGTATACAGCCATTAAAAAAAACGAGATCATGTCCTTTGCAGGGACATGGATGGAGCTGGAGGCCATTTTCCTTACCAAACTAATGCAGAAACAGAAGACCAAATACTGCATGTTCTCGCTTATAAGTGGGAGCTAAATGATGAGAACACATGGATACATAGAGGAAACAACACACACTAGGGCCTACCAGAGGGTGAAGGGTGGGAGGAGGGAGAGGATCAGGAAGAATAATCACTTAATCCTAGGTAATGAAATAATCTGTACAACAAATCCCCATGACACAAGTTTACCTTTGTAACAAACCTGCAAATCCTACACATGTACCCCTAAACTTAAAAGTTTAAAAAAAAAAAAAAAGAAAATTAATGACTTTTGTTGAAATTTATTGGCCGAAATAAATCAGATGGTCCTAGTTCAGTGGCTCACTCCTATAACCTCAGCATTTTGGGAGACCGAGGTGAGTGTGCACGTGTAGTCCCAGCTACTTGGGAGGCTGAGGCAGGAGAATTGCTTGAGCCGAGGGGGTCAAGGCTACAGTTAGCTATGATCACTCCACTGCACTCCAGCCTGGGTGACAGAGCAAGACCCTGTCTCAAAAACAAACAAACAACAAATCACATGGTCACACTTAACTTGAAAAGGAGTACTAAACTAATGACTAACACATATGGGGTCTCTCTCTCCCTTTGTTTTTGGTAATGTAATTGATTATTTTTTTCCTAATATTGCCCTAGTTTTACATTCCAGAGACAAACTGTATGATTATGAGGTCTGATTGTTTTGATATGCCACTTGTTTGATTTGATAATATTTATTTAGATTTTTGCATCTTTCTTCTCTGGTAAGATTGGCCTAGACTTTCCATTTCTTATGCTTTTCTCAACAGTTCAGTGTCAGGGTTTTTTGTTAGCATTATATAAGGAGATGGGGATTTTTCTGTTTTCTTTTTCTCCTCAGTTTTCAGAGTTTATATAGATTTCCAATATACTTTTTGGGAGGAGTTTAGGACAACTACAAAAATAGACCATACAGGCTCCATATAAGACCACTCTCACTTCTGACGCCAACTGTTAGTTTGGGGGATTCCCAAAACCACTCTCAGGTTTGATAATTCATTAGAAAGGCTCATAGCGTTTAGTGAAAGCTGTTGTACCCATAGTTACGATTTGTTATAGGGAAAGGATTTGGATAAGATCAGCCAAAGGAAGAGACTCATGGGGCAGAGTTTAGGAGGGTTCCAAATACAGAGCCTATCTTGCTCTCTTCCCATGTGGTCAGGACACATTTCTCTCCCGGCATCAATGTATGACAGTATGCATGAGTACCACCAAATAGGGAAGCTTACCCAACCTTTACTGTCGAGTTTTTGTAGAGGTTATTCACATAGGTGTGATTGATTAATTGCTCACAGGGATTTCAGTCTCCATGTTGACTGACCCTGTGTGACCCCAGACCCCTATCTCCAGTTACATTGTTCGTCTTTCCGATTGGTCAGCCTCCACCTAGGATTATATAGGTGTGGACAGTCCCCTCCCTGAATTGCATTATTAGCCTATCCAGTATGACCCAAGGCCTCCCAGACAAAGACACACTTTTTAGACGTAACTTTCTAAGTGTCCAGAGATTATCTACTAGAAGCCAAGAGGAAAGACCAGACTGTCTCTTTGGACAAGGCCAAATTCTTCACTAAACACATTTGTACAATTAATTTTTCTCTTTTATGATTGTCTTCCTGTGATTCCTCAATAACAGATTAAGCCTGTAGGGATTCCATTATGGAAAACTGGTTCATTTAAATTTGAGCCCTTCATTTCTCTAGCTGTCTCATAAAAATTACAGGATACTTTTTATTTAACTGCATTTAAATTAAACTCCCTTTTATCTTTTTTTCCCCCCAAGAATAAAGGTTCTCTTCAGTTTGAAGACAAATGGGATTTTATGCGCCCGATTGTTTTGAAGCTTTTACGCCAGGAATCTGTTACAAAACAGCAGTGGTTTGATCTGTTTTCGTAAGTACCCAGTTTGCTAACATAAAGTAAATTTTGGTGATGTCTTTCCATACCCAAATGGAATGTGTAACTCTAGGTTGTTCTGTTTACCTATTAAATAGTATTACTAGTTATGCTGAGGGTCTCCAAAACCTCTCCCAGGTATGATGATTTGCTAGGGGGCTCACAGGACCAAACATACAATCATACTCACAGCTATGAGTCATTACAGTGAAAGGATCCAAAGCAAAATCAGCAAAGGGAAAAGGTACATGGGGCGAAGTGCAGGAAAAAACAAGCACAAGCTTCCAAGAAGAGTCTTTTCCCAGGGGAGTCACACAGGGCACACTTAATTTTTCCAGCAGTGATGGACAGCCTGTGATATGTTGTCTACCAGAGAAGCTTATTGGAGACTTAGTACTCAGGGTTTTTATAGGGGTGGTCACATAGGCAGTCTCTTTCAACATGTACCAAAATCAGTGTAAACCATATTGTTTATATAAACAGTTTAAGTACAGTAAGCCACTGTTATTTCAGGAAAGATTTAAGCGTAGGAAACTGTTGACCATTCAAATTCTCAGATGCCAGCCAAGGGCTAATCTTACAAGCAGGCATTTCTAGGGGATGCAGTCTCGGTTGCTGGTTTAACTTTTTGCCATTGGCCAAATTGTCTTTACAGCAGAATTATGCCAGCATTCCCCCATGTAGCAGGGCAAGACCAACCTGTAGTATTGGTCTCAGTTGCCTCCAACCCCCTTTTTTTTTTTTTTTTGAGATGGAGTCTTGCTCTGTTGCCCAGGCTGGATTGCAGGGGCGCCATCTTGGTTCACTGCAACTTCTGCCTCCCAGGTTCAAATGATTCTTGTGCCTCCGCCTCCTGAGTAGCTGGGATTACAAGTGTGCACCACCATGCCTGGCCAATTTTTGTATTTTTAGTAGAGTCAAGGTTTCTCCATGTTGTCCAAGCTAATCTTAAACTCCTGACCTCAGGTGATCTGCCCGCCTTGGCCTCCCAAAGTGCTGGGATTACAGGCATGAGCTACCATGCCTGGCGAGTTATCCCTTTTTAGGGGTCCTGGATTTAGCCAGTTAAACTCCATTAATCATAAAGTTTATCTTAAAAAACCATGTGGCTTTCTCTTTCAGTTCTGTATAGGCCTTTTTTTAACATGGTCAACTCAGGCACAATTGTGAACTCAGGCACAGTATAACTCAGGGCAGTAAGTTGAAGTGGACCTGAAAGCCTTCCAGGATTGAGACAGTGCCACGCTAGGGTACATACACTAACAAATATAATCCCAGAGGGCATATGTAGTTCTCCTAGAAACAAAAAGTTTAAAATTGTTAAGATACCCCAAGCAAGATATTAGTCAGGTAGTACAGGTTAACAAGGCCCCCCCATGGCCTCCCACCATGGGACCTTATATTCTGGGGTTCCCAATTCAGTGTAGTTGATTTATAATTCAGTTCAGGCCTTGGTTTCAGATGGACTGCCTGAAGGCAGTTAGTTTCAAACAGAAGGTGTTCTACATGGAAAGTGCAGAAGCTTGAGGCTGTTCCTTGCCATCTCATAGTTGGTGCTGTTAGGTGTGATTGTAAGTTCACCAGTTTGAATTAAAAGGACTCGTGGCAGCTTGGAAGGGCAACCCTGAGAGATTTCCTTTAGGAAAAGGGGGAAAGCTTTTAGGAATAGTTGTGAGAAGCAAAAATCATTAATCTCCTCCTCCTCCACTGTCCCTTCCCAGATGCTGGGGTTTTTTTTTTTCTTCCTTATAAAATCAGTGTATCCCTTTTAGTAATGAAAATTTCGTGTCTTCTCCATCATCCAGATCTGCATGAGGGACAAAAGTTTTTTTACTAAAAACATTTGTATACAACTTAATTAAAAAGACATATGATATTTAGGAAATGGTCAGGATGAAATCCTGAATTTTTAAAACTTTTCAAAATGGGCTTATGTTATCTCCCTTTTGTCCTGATGATGTATCTAGTGGGTAGCCTAGAAAATATCAGTTCCTTTCTGGGGACAGCTGCATTTAGTAACCAGACTGACTTACTAAGGTGTGTGTGTACCAGGAGGGGTGACAGGAAAGAGAGAAATAGAGTCAGGTTATTAAATCTATTGCTGCAAACTGCAACCAATCCGGAAAGGCAAACAGAAGTCAGTAGCAGTGAGACATCTCAAGAAGGGGTCAAAATCTAATCTGTAAGAAGTGGATGAGGGGCTACACTCTTGTGATGTGCCCTTTCCCAACTACAGCTTTTGGTAGGAACCACCAGTTGGGAATACTGTTAGTCTCCATATCAGATATATAAGACCAATCAGCAGCTTCATCTTAGATAGTCCCATCAGAGAATAAGCCTTTTTCTTTGGGTGTCTGTGAGTGGTTGAGGTGGTCCAGCCAGAATCCATGATGTTTTCATGGTTTCTGGCTCCACAAGAGGATATCTTTTAAGTCTTCAGTAATCTTTGACGGCCAAAGTGGCTTACACCTATAATCCCAGAACTTTGGGAGGCCAAGACAGGATGATCGCTTGAGCCCAGGAGTTCAAGACCAGCCTGGGCAACATAGTGAGACCCTGTCTCTTAAAAAAAAAAAAAATTATCTGGGTGTGGTGGCACACACCTGTAGTCCCATCTAATTGAGGGATGAGGTGGGAGGATTGCTTGAGTCTTCAGGCAGATTGCTTGCTGTATTGAGGCTGCAGCAAGCTGTGACTGTGCCACTGCACTCCAGGCTGGGTGACAGAGTGAGATCTTGTCTCAAAAACAAAAAAAAAATTGAGGCAAAGTCCTGTTTATTGAGTATATGCCGCTTTTGGTTCAGCACAGCTCGTATTGAGGTTGAAATAGCCTGGTAGCAGTGTCAGGTTTCAGCCTAGCGTCGGATCCAGGTAATTGAGATCTGTGATTTCAGGATTCCAAAACAGTTAGTGTCTTGTCTTTGGCAGGAGCAAAGCCAAGATACTGCAGGCTTGCAGTCATATTTCAAGTCCAAGTGATCAGCAAGACTATCCTAAGTCCTTTTTACCTTGTCTTAGGATCCAACTTGATCTGCCCAAAAATGTGCACATATAGCTGGAAAATCAGCTTCTAAGGGTCAGACATCTAATTTTACAAGAATTCAATAACAATGAAAAACTGCATTTAAAATTCCAAAAGTGTATTTCCTTCATCTGGAGATTTCCTTTGTTTTCATGTTGTCTCTCTTTTTCCCGGGGCATCAGTAGTTTAAAAAGTCATAGTAAATATCATCCGTTGTGGAAACTTATTCTGTTCCCAATACTCACAGAGTTTAAATTCCAGTCCCTTCAGCAGAAAAAAGCAAGAAGTTTTGTCTCATTAATTTTTCCTGATTGGGACAATCCCTTTAGCATTTGTGAAATGACTAGCAGCATATTACATCTTATGTCAGTTTTGATTATAAATCTAGATGCAGTAACTGCAAAGTACAAACTTTATTTCATCTCTTAACCCCCCCCCACCACATTTTTCCCTTATTTTAAATTTATTTATTTATTTATTGAGACAGAGTCTTGCTCTGTTTCCCAGGCTGGATTGCAGTGGCACAATCTCAGCTCACTGCAACCTTCAACTCCCAGGTTCAAGTGATACTCCTGCCTTGCCTCTTGAGTAGCTGGGGCTACAGGTACCCACCACTGCACCAGGCTAATTTTTGTCTTTTTAGTAGAGACAGGGTTTCACCATGTTGGCCAGGATAGTCTCGAACTCTTGACCTCAAAGTTACCTGACTACCTCGGCCTCCCAAAGTGTTGGGATTACAGGCGTGAGCCACCATGCCTGGCCATCCTTATTCCTTATTTTAAATTTAATCAACCATCAGCAGTAAATTCAGTGTTTATAAAAGTAACATTACAGCTGCTGGGAGATCCTGACTGGCATGCAAGGTGTAGGGAGGGACTGCAGCAGCAGCAGCTAGGCTGAAGAGACAGCTGGAGTGGTTCACTCTCCCCACTCCTATTTCTCCCATAGTTTATCTAAAGCTTTGCTCCAGCACTGGGCTCTGATTTTGCTATTATTTTTTTCCTATTTGGAGGAGAGAGCATACAAACTTTTAACATTTTTGGTCCACCCAGACTCATCTTTGGAAACTTTTGGGCCTCTTCCCACCTGGAGGCAAGAAAAAAAAAAAAATCCAACAGAGACATCATCCAGGCTTTGTTTTTTCCTCTCTTCACTTTAGTCAGCATGGCCAGAAACTGCCAGGGGAATGAGGTAGCCAATTCTCGTGGTGTTAGAGCTATCATTTTCAAATTTCATAGGTAATTTTTACGTGTCACAAAAGACAGAAACTCAACTGCCGTTTCATACTATGAATGATTTTATAGCCACCAGAGCAGCAAATGTTTGTCATCCTACTGCTTCTTCTCTCTTCACGAGTCCAACTTCTGACACCAGCTGTGTTGGCAATCCCAAGGTCACCCCTAGGCTCAGTGATTGCCGGGAGTATTCATAGGACTATAGGACTTACTATGTAGTTGTATTCATGGCTATGATTTATTACAGTGAAGGAAGCAAAGCAAAATCAACAAGGAAAAAGTGCATGTGCCAAAAAGTCCAGGGGAAATGAAATACAAACTTCCAAATGTCTTCTCGCAGAGGAGTCACACAATAAGCTTAATTCCTCCAGCAGCTGACAGTGACAGCACATATAAAATATTGTCTACCAGGGAAGCTAATTAGAGACTCAGCACCCAGACTTTCTACTGGGGGCTGGTCATGTAAGCAACGTATGCCTGGCACATACCAAAATTCGAGACTGGCAGAAGAAAAGAAAGTGTTCAACGTAAGTCACACTGTGTAAATAGTTTAGGCACCTAAAACGTTCTCATTAAGGAATGATGGGAATCCTCCCAAAAATCCAGATTGCCACATCCTAGCCAAAGGCCAGCCTTGCACACAGGTGTTTCTTAGGCTAGCAGTCTCAGACACACTATTAAAATGCCGTATCAATGAATTATAGATGTGTAATTGCATAAGCTGTACACATTGAGCTGTT